CCCGTCCTACGACGTTACTTCTGTAGTAGAGAGAGAGAGAGAGAGAGAGAGTGTGTGTGTTTTCATCCGGGTCCGGGGCTGGAGGAACGTAGCCCCGGGGAACCTCGGTCCTGCAGGGTAGCTCCATTGGGAGGGGACTTGCAGCAGGGAGAAGTAACCCCAAAGTAACGGGCAGATCTGGGAACAAACGGGACAATCACAGATTTGCGTATGTCCTGTCTGGAGTGCCGTGCAATGAGTGCTGCATTTCAGGCTGGCTAAAATGCATGGTGATGGGAGTTGAGTGCAGTGGGTAAGGGTCGTAGTTTGCCGGTTGGCTGGTGAAGCTACAGGTGTTCGAGGCAGCTGGTGACGATAAGAAACCCGATGTTGGGGGAAGTGGGTTGGCAGTGACATGGGGGCACAAGGGAAAGAGTTTTGGGACAAGGGCTGCGGGGGTGGGGGGTGGGCGAGGATCTGCTCCGTCTGCAGTGCTATGAGCGCCTGGATTGAGTCTGCTTGGCGCTCCACGATGCTTAGGAGCCGCTCCGTGCTTTGGTGCCAGCGATCCGCATTCTTCGTGCGGATCCTCCTTTCAGGCCTCTGGCTCTGGGCCCCCCTCCTCCTCAGCTCCCACGTTCCTCCTCCTGCCTTGTTGAACTCTGGGCTGCTACGGACTCTGAAGTGTCCATGGTGCTCTTCGGCGTGGAGGTGGGGTCGCCCCCAAGTATCACATCCAGCTCTTTGTAGAACCGGCAGGTTGTGGGGGCAGCACCGGAGCGGCGGTTTGCCTCGCGGGCTTTGCGGTAGGCGTTCCACCGCTCCTTCACTTTAACCTGCTCTGCACTGCATCCCAGTCATGGCCCCTTTCCATCATGGCCCCTGATATCTGCTCAAAGGTATCGTAATTCCTACAGCTGGAGCTCAGCTGGGACTGGACAGCTTCCTCCCCCCAAACACTGATGAGATCCAGCACCTCGCATTGCTCCATACTGGGGATCGCCTGGCGCGTGGAGGCATGGTCACTTGGAAAGATGTGCTGAGAGCACTCCACGCCAGGCTGAACAAACAGGAAGCGGAATTTCAATTTGCCAGAGAATTTAAAGGGTGGGTCTGACGGTTGGTCACCTGAGGCCAGGGCAGTAGAGTTCAAAGTGATGACCAGAGTGGCTAGAACAGACATTGTGGGACACTTCTGGAGGCCCATCCGAGCGCATTAACAGACCAGGGCGTCCACACTGGTGCTGAGGCACTCCTGCCGGGGTGCAGCAAACTCTATGCTTCTCGTGGAGGTGGATTACCAGGGGCGCTCCAGCCGCAGGATCCGGGCGCTCTACGTGCCTTGCCAGTGTGGACGCCTCAGGAGTTATGGCGCCTGGGGCTGATTTAATGCGCTCTAACTTGCAAGTGTAGCTGAGGCCTAAGGAGCTGCTTCTCAGCTTCTAGCCCCAAGCTGCGTTAGCCAACGGATCCAAGAGCGCTCTCTGGCTTTTCCCTGGGTCACACTGAGCTCACAGGGCTCTGCTTGGTGTCCCAGGTCAGGGCAACTGCCCCTGTATTTCCCCCATATGGTCCAGCAAGGGCTCCCATTCGAGGCTCCCAGCTCCTCGGCCGTCACCTCTCCTGGACACACACCTGTGTCTCGTTTCCTCCTGGGTATTTCCAGGCTGCACAATTCCCTGCCTACACTGTGAATTCACCAGCAGGTCAGACGGTCTCTGCAGGCCTGCGTTGCGTTCTCCTCAGAGGCTATAACCAGCGTCAGTGCCCACAGGTACACCACCCAGCAAGCACATTTATTCTTAAGCTGAAAGCGTTACACAGAAAACGTATTGAGAACAACACAAGAACCTACACGCGTGCAAATAAGCTACCCAGAGATGACCCGAACCCCAACCAGGGCTTGGGAAGGTTTTTAAGGCACACCCGGGGGTTTGTTTGTGGTCACAAGTTCATAACAGCTGTTAGCTCAGAAGAAGAACCCCCCGGAATCTGAGTCTCTCCTTTCATCCAGCTCAGGGCTCAGGTCTTGTCCTCCTGTAGCAGAAGATCAGCCGACAATGGATTTCTCCTCTGGAGGTGAGATGTTGCCTTCCCGTCCTCCGAAGTATCTCCTAGGGATCCCTCTCAACTGACAGTTCATCCTTAGCTGGCCCGTTGTTCCAGAGTCTTTCAAACACTTCCCAGAGTTTACGTTAGCCAGGATCCTTCTAGAGCGGGTCCATGCAATCCCACAAGAATGCGGAAACATCTGCCTGTTTAATACCATGAACTTCTAGGGTACTTCAGTAAGGTTTGTCCAGGGTATTGCAGGAAGTGACCGTCTCGGTCACACCTGGCTTTCTTGCTTTTTGCCTCTGCTTCTCTCTCTGTTCTATGTGTTTTCCTTTCACACACACATGGGGCAGGGCTCATCCCTCCAGCAGGAGGCAGTAGGACAGAGAGATCCACACACACACACACACACACACACAGAGCAGGACTCATCCCTCCAGCAAGGGTCAGTAGGACAGACAGATGGACACACACACACACTACTCACTGAGTCCAAACCCCTGATGGTGGGGGGCTTGCGATCCAGTCCTCCTGAGTTATATTAGCTGAAGGGTGTGTTCCCACCCAGTCTCCAAGAGGACTGTGATCAATGCTGTCTCCAGGACTGTGAAGCAAAACCTATCCCTATTTTATAGATGGGGAAACTGAAGCCTAGAGCAGGGATGGCGCTTGATGACAGTCACATAGGAAGTCTGTGGCTGAACCAGGAATAGAACCCAGGAGTCCAGGCTCCCAGCCAGAGCCGCCCAGAGGATTCAGGGGACCTGGGGCAAAGTGGGGGAGCTTGTACTCACCAGGCGGCGCTCCAAGTCTGCGGCGGCATTTCGGCGGCAGGGGGCCCTTCAGTCGCTCCGCATCTTCGCCAGCACTGAAGGACCCGCCACCGAAATGCCGCCAAAGACCCGGACTGCGACGGGGTGAGGAAAGGGATTCTTGGCCAGGGCTCATGGGGCCCCTGTGGGGCCCGGGGAAAATTGCCCCACTTGCCCCCCCCCCGGCGGCCCTGCTCCCAGCACCCCCCTTGCCTAGGTCCAGCCTCTAGGTGTCTGGCTCTGTCCCCTTATAGGTGCCAGGCAATTGCTGCAGTACTGATGAGCAGAGGGATCACGGCTGCAGGCCGCAGGGTGGAAGAGGAGCTGGGGGTGACTCGGAGGGCTGCCGAGGCCTGCACTTGGCGATTCCCAAGGCTCTGCAGAGGCCGGTAGTTGTTCTGCAGCCGGGGCCCAGCATCTGAGTTTGTGGAGCGGAGGATGGAGGGGAATGCAGCCACCTGTGGGGAGGGAGTCCGATTAGTGGGGGAGGGGCAAATTGAGGGGGGGAGGCAAACTTGGGGTGCCCTACTTAGTGGAGAGTAGGACACCCCATCAACGGGGATCACTTTGGAGCAGAGAGAGTGGGGGTTTGAACAGGAGAGGGGAGGTGAGCTCCCTTCCCCCCACACTCACACTCATCATGCCAGAGAGACTGGGGGTTTGAACAGCAGAGCAGAGGTGAGGTGGAAAAAGGACCCAGGAGTCCTGACTCCCAGGCCCCTCTGCTCTAACCCACTGGGCCCCACTCCCCTCCCAGACTTGGGGAGAGAACCAAGGAGTCCTGACTCCCTCCCTTCCCCCACCCCCACACTCAGCCTCACACTCACCACGCCAGGAGGCACCAGGATGGGGCTGGGGAAGACAGTCCAGACCACGACTTCGTCACAGTAGGGGGTGGTGAGGGAGCCGTGGTAGCGGTAATAGCGGGCTAGATCCACCGAGCCCAGGAGCCCGCGCAGGGAGAAGGAGCCGTCCAGATTCGTTTTCTTGTCTGGAGGGGCAGAGGGAGAGTGCCCAGCTCAGCCCCTCCCAGAGTTGGGGATAGAACCCAGGAGTCCTAGCTCCCAACCCCCCTGCTCTAACCCACTAGATCCCACTCTCCTCCCAGCTTTAGGGACAGAACCCAGTAGCCTGGAATCCTTGCCCCCACTCCCCTCCTCTAATCCATTTCTCTCTCTCACCCCCTGGTGGCACAGAGCTATACTGTCCCCAGCCCCAATGCTAGGCCAGCCGTAATCCACCTCTCCCGCATCCCAGTTCAGGGGATACTCACCCTTCAGAGCCACGTTCTTCAAGTGCCGGGTGAAGGAATCCCAGGAGCGGGAGGGGCGTGCGTGGGCTGTTGCCTGAGGGACAAGATCACATGAGTACAACAAATAGGGAAACTGAGGCGTGGGGAGGCTGGGAGTCAGAGTGACTCAGAGTAAGACTCCAGTTCCTCCTCGAACCATTAGATACCACTTGCCATCCAGAGAACCCAGGAGTCCTGATGCCCAGCCCCTGCTGTTCTAACTTACTAGACCCCGCTCCCTGTCCCGAGCTGGGCATAGAACCCAGGAGTCCGGGCTCATGGCCCCGCACTGCCTCACCTGGAGGAAGAAGGCCAGCACAGCGATTCCCTCGGGATCCTTGAGGGCGTCAGCCATGCTCAGGTTGTTCTTGGTATGAACAATATGGAGCTAAAGGGGGAGAGAGAAAAAAATTGGAGAGCGCCCCCTACGGAGCCCTGCCTGCTCCCTGCAGGACAGCGCCCCCTGCTCATCCCCTGCCCACCCCCTCCAGCACAGCACCCCTTACTGAGCCCCCTGCCCCCCGCCTGCAGCACAGCGCCCCCTGCTGAGCCCTCCACCCGCCGCTTGCAGCACAGCGCCCCCCGCTGAGCCCCCCGCCCG